TGGCGGGCTTCGCGTCGCGCGCGAGTTCTGCGAGGAGCCGCTCGAGCGCCTCGCTGTGGACGTCGTGCGCGACGACGCGCGCGTCCCNCACGCTAAAGACGTCCCGCGCCGCCGCGGCCCAGGCGTCGGGCCAGGCGTCGCGCTCGAGCATCCGCGGCGCCGGCTTGGGGAACTCGACGCAGCCGACGAGGCGGAGAAAGTCGAGCCACCCCGCGGCCTGCTCGCGCGACGTCGCGAGCTCGTGCAGCGCCACGTAGCGCCACTCGAGGCGCCGGGCGAGCGTCGAGAGCTCGCGGAGCACGTCGAAGGCGCCGTGCTCGTGGGCGAGGAAGATGTCCGCGGCCGCGGGCCGCGCCGCGCCCCGGGGCTCGAAGGGGTGCCTGCCCCCCGGGCCCGCCCGCGCCGAGACCGGCACCGCGCAGCCCCGGAGCGCCTCGAGCAGGCGGTCGCGCTTCGAGCCCCGCAGCGTCAGGAAGTAGGCGCGCGCGAAGCGCCACCGGGCGTTGAGCCGCTTCCGATCCTCTCCGGCGTCGGCCGCGGCGAGCGCCGGGAGCACGTGCTCGAGGCAGACGGCCTCGGCCGTCGCGTCCTTGACGCCCGCCGAGCGCAGCACGCTCACGACCATGGGCCGCGCGAGCGACGGCGCGAGCACCGCCGGGTCGACGACCGCGAGGTCGGCCCGGACGGCCGCGAAGCCCTCGAGGGGCTCGGCGCCCTCGCCGCGGTCGACGTAGATCGGCGCGGCCCCCGGGGCCCCGCGCCCGCCCCCGGCGAGCGGCACGACGGCGAGCGACCGGAGGCGGTCGCGGTCGGCCGCCGAGACGCCTCCCGCGGGCGCGGCCGCGCGGTAGAGGAGCGCGGCCCACTCGAGGAAGACGGGCGCCCCGAGGTCGTCGGCGTCGGCGAGCGCCGCGGCGAGGCGGAGCGCGTGCGAGGCGTCGAGGGCCTCGACGCCCAGCGCCGCCCGCGTCTCGGGCCGGAGCCGGTCCTGGAAGGCCTGGTCGAGGCAGGAGCGGCCGAGCAGCGCGGGCGCGCGCGCGAGCAGGCCCGGCGCCTCGCGCCGGAGCCGCTCCGGCACGGCCAGGGCCCGCGACGGCAGCGCCCAGGTCCCGTCGGCCGCGAGGCAGCACTCGACGCCACGCACGCGCCGCGCGATCTCCGCGGCGACGGGCCGGAAGAAGCCCACGACCTCGCGCTCCACGGGCAGCGCCTCGAGCACGCGCGCGACGTCGAAGCCCGCGCCCGCGCCCGCGCCCGCGCGGACCGCCGCGAGCGCGTCGACGTAGAGCCCCGCGGCCTCGTCGCGGAGCCACTGGTTCCAGGGCGAGTCCTCGCGCACGGTCTCGCGGCTCGACGCGAGGATCCAGTCCGCGTGGAGGACGAACTTGAGGTTCGCCGGCGCGATGGGGAGGAACGCGAAGACCGGGAGCTGCGCGTCGCCGTCGCGCGGCGCCTCGGACGCCTCGAAGGCCGCCGCGAGCACCGTCCGCGTCGCGTCGCCCCGCGGCGCCCACGGCACGACCGCGGCCTCGCGCCGCACGACGAGCCAGGTGCTCGCGGCGGGCTCGGCGCCGTCGACGGCGTCCGCGAGCGTCACGACCGACGCGTTCGCGGCGCCGCCGGGCGCGTCGGCGCGGCGCATCGACCGCGCCGTCGTCTCGCCGTCCGCGCCGCGGTCGACGACGTCGATGCGCCGGACGCGGTTCAGGAAGAGCAGGAGGAGCGGGTCGACCTCCGCGAGGCGCTCGCGCAGCTCCGCGCGCTTCGCGTCGCCGCGGAACTCGTCGGTCAGCGGCAGGACGATGGTCGTGCCGTCGCGGGGCGGTGCGGCGAGGCCGGCCGCGGCGAGCCACGACGCGAGCTCCGGCGACGGCGGCCCGCGGCACGGCGCCGGCACGACCATGTGCTCGTCGAGCGCGAAGGCGTAGCCGTTCGAGTGGACCTCCGGCCGCGACGAGACGCGA